CGCCGCCATCTCTCTCCCGAGGAAGCCGACGAATGGGTAAAAGGCCGCTACCAAATCATCAACGTCTGGCGACCTATCGAAAATCCTGCTTCAGACCACCCCCTCGCCATGATAGACTGGAGAACAACATCAACATCCGACTTTGTTGCCACAAATCTCCTATACCCTAAGCGCGCCGACTCAATGGACGTCGACGACCGGGGTAAGGAAGTCCTTCCCGACCCAAACAACCACACGTCCACCGAAGGCTACGAGGTCAAGGGCGAAACTATGTCGGTGGCAGCGAACGACCAGCACAAATTCTACTACCAGAAAGATATGACGCCTGAGGAAGTTATTTTGCTCAAGTGCTATGATAGTTTTGGAGAGGGCATGTCTCACGGCAAGAAGGGTGTGGCTGTTAGAACACCGCATACTGCTTTTGCGGATCCGAACACGCCGGAGGATGCGCCGGGTCGGCAGAGTATTGAGGTTAGATGTTTGGTGTTCTATGAGTAGGGTAGTTGTGTAGGAATGATGGCAACCTAGCTGTTTGAAAGTCATCATGCGCACGTATTTGTTGAGTTGTATGTCTTCAAATTTACATCTAATCAGTCTATCTAAGCGAATCTATAACCGCAACCACACCAGACTTTGGTATCGTAAGATCAGAAAAGGCGTACAAACGGTCTATCGCGAAGACAATCGCGAGAACAATTCTTTAGGCCTTGGTATGGGCTTCGACGCGTGCCTCGGTAGATTCCAACTCAAACGAGTCGGTATCCTGGGGCCTCCAGAACTTCTTGTCGCCCTTCATGGCGCGGATGAACCAAGGTTGAGCGCGTGGCGAGTCTGAGCGGACTGGAATGAGAATGTTAGCGCAGCTTTTGGGAAGGAATCAGTACATGGAGAGACTTACAGCTCCAGTATTCTTTGTTGTCATAGTCGGGTGGAAGTAGGCGTCCGCCTGAGATGGCACCGAGAGCCCATGTTGTGGTATTTATGATGGCGTAGCACATGATTCCAGCGATGAGACCGTACGCAATGGAGTAGGAGAAAGGCATGAACATGAGTGTGACGAAGGCGGGGATGGAATCGCCTGGATAGTTCCAGTTGATGGCTAAGACACCGCGCATCATCATGCAGCCGACCAAGATGAGTGCTCCACCTGTTGCCCAAGGCGGGATGGAGGCGAAAATGGGTGCAAAAAAGAGGGAGATGAAGAAACAGATGCCCGTGGTGATTGCTGTGAGGCCTGTGCGACCGCCTTCTTGGATACCAGCCTGTACATGTTAGTATGGAGGAAACTCAAAGCAGTCAAATATGGTACTTACACCAGACTCGACGAAAGCGGTGACAGGCGAAGATCCAAAGAGGGAACCGATGGAGATAGCGATAGCGTCCGCTGAGTACGCAATAGTCGAACGGGGGAAGTCGCCCGTGTCAGGATCGACAACGCCCGAGAAGCGAGCCATGGAGTACAAAGTACCCGTCGCGTCCAAGATATCGACGTAAAGCATAGTGAAGACAGCCAGAGCAAACTGCCCGCCCACGTTAGACAGATCCCAGTCCTGTGCCAACAAAGTGTGTTTGATAGGATGGAAAGCGACAATGTTCTTGAAGAACTCGAAACGGCTGTCACCAACTGTTGTGCGTGGGAAATAGGTGATTGAAGTGTCGCGAGGCCAGCAGAAAATCGAGACCAGTGCGATACCAAAGATCATTGAGCCACGGATCTTGTACGTCATGAGAAGTGCAGTGAAGACACCGCCCACGAGGAAGCCGAGCCACATGGTCGGGTTGGTGGCTTTGTGTGAGAGACACGAGCCAGTGTCCGGGTCGAGGTATTCTGTAGGGCAACCTCCAAGGTCAAGTGGCGTGGCTTTAGCTCCTGTAATGGCACCGATACCAGCAGAGTATGAAAGTCCGATCAGTGTCAAGAAGAGACCGATTCCCGCACCACATGCGACTTTGATGCTAGCAGGAATGATGCGGGCCAACCATTGGCGAATACCAGCGAGGGAGAGCGCAACGAAGATGAAGCCTTCGACGAAGACAGCGGTCATTGCGACACGGTAATCGATAGGACCTGTGCCGTGGAACCCCACGATCTGATACGCCAGATACGCATTAAGGCCCATAGCCGGTGCGAGCGCCACCGGAAGGTTTGCAAGGAGGCCCATGAGGAATGAGCCGAGCGCTGCGATGGCGGCGGTAGCAGTAACGAAGTCGCGGTTGATTTCGAGGAGGCAGAGGGAGTAGGCTTCATCGTTGATACATGTTGGGTCGACAGGGTCGTTGCAGACACATGTCGCACCAGAGTCTGTGAGGACGGATGCCTACAAGTGGTGGTTCCGTTAGCACACGTACCACTTTGACAGCATGGGTGACTTACGTTGACAGCGATAATGTATGCCATGGTGAAGAAGGTCGTCAGTCCAGCCCGTAGCTCTGTCGTAAACCGCGCATTCTTGATCTCATTGGGCTTTGATGATCAGTATTGCGTGCTATATTGGAAATGCAAGAACGACTTACATGTCCTGATCCGTCAAGATGAAAATATCTGCCCACAAATGAAGCGGAAACCACATCATTGAGAGCAGCTTTGTTTCGTTCAATGAAACCCATTTTGAGAGGCCAAAAGCAAGACAACGGGTATGATAGAATGATGTAGCACTACGAGACCATCGACACCCCAGGTGACGACGGAGATCAATCCCCAGATATACCTGCCGTACTCAAAGAGGAAGATACGGAGACTACACCTAGTGCAGGGGATGGAGCGTAGCAGGCTCGCTCGCGTCATGCAGGTGCCCGCAACGATCCCGTAAGAAGTTCGCGGTAAGCCACATAAGGCATCCTCCGTGATCGGAGATGGATTCTCGTTAAGCGAATGTGGAAGACACTATATGCCTAAAAATCTGCCGCTCCATTATGGCAGGTCGAACGGCTAGGTGTGTTGCTGTTTCATCTTCTCATCCAAGCCGTCCCTCGGTGGGATGCAACCGCGCATACGCCACTGAAGAACCGTCCGCCTTGGTTATGTCACCTCCACTAAATTGTGGTCGTCGGATTCCGGGTTGTGGGCCGCACTGAGTAATCCACTGGCATTAGTACAGTATCTAGATCACTTCAACTGAGCCAGGAAGCGAAAACGAGTCAAGCAATCGATAGATACGTGGTAGTGACGTGGTGTGCCATGTACGTGTATGCTTTGCACCACCTCCTTCAACATCTCAGCGATATTAATTCCATAGCTGCCGAGGCTGACTGTGTGCGGTGCATGTCGCAAATAAGTCTAGTCGTTACGAAGTTGCGGTCTTGAAGTCTAAAGGGTCGAAGACCGATGGCGCATCGGCAGAGGAATCTGACTTGGTTACTGGACATCAGGAACGAAAGGTACCTGACTGTCGGGTCTTCCAAGAAGTTCTAACGAGTCGCAGAAGTCCCAACGATGGCTTTGACGTGCTCGATCCAATGGCTGCTGTGCCGCTTCCCGGGGCTTTCATGAAGGGGGAAGGTAAGCGGTCATCTAGCAGACGCTAAAGGTGGCTGGTGGCGCACATGTGATAAAACCGTCTTCATGTGCCTACAGAGTACGTGTCGGTGCTGCATAGGCGGTAAGGAGTGACATGCTTGCGCGAGTGTATTGTTGCGATGTGCAGGATGAGGGAAGATCTTGGTACTGTCATCGTCCAGTACCCCTCTGGTTTGGGTTGTCAGTTCCGAGAGTGTGGGTTGGGAAAGGTCACTTGCGCTGATCATCATCTGCCCTGTTATCGATGGGGACTTCCGCACTAGTTTCGGCGCTATTCTCGGTGGGAACCGGGCGCCCTGGTTTCGCTGGTCTGTAAGGCCACCAACCACCGCTGACTTGGAACACCCAACACCAAACTGCAATCATTACGCTAAAAACGCTAGCCGGCTCAGTTGGCGAGATTGAGACTATTTCCCGCGAACGGGCTGGCCTAACAGGTGGTACGTGTTGTGACATGCCGAAACGATGAACTATTATCGAGCGAAGATCCCCGCCTGGAAGGCGATGAGGGCACCGTATCGAGATAGTCGACATGTTTCCAACATTTGATGTTCCTCCTCAGCATGCCGAGACAGTAGGAGCTCGCAAAGCAAGAAGAGCAAAGGAAGACGATACGACCAGACGGTCTTTCTCGGCAACCTCGCAGTCATCCGGGAGCACGCACAGCAGCAAACGTCAAGATGCAACGGGCTCTTCAGACTCAAGATCAGGAGGAAAGAGTGGTCTCGGCGGTTGGTTCAGCAAGAATAACAAAAAGGGCATCCAGGAGATTGCTCCGCTGTCGACATGTAAGGAGACACAACGTCCAAAAGAGCTGGCGATGAAGCCAGAGTCTGAACTCGGACTTGACCAAGGACCGGCACCACCCACTGCTCCTCTAGATACACAACATCAAGTATCTCAGAGGCCGCCGTCCCAGCGTTCTGATCAGACATCTCGAAAACTCCAGCCGCCGCGCTTTCCACCCCCGCTGCCATCTCCTCCTCCGTCTGGTGCACTGCCTCCTACGCCAGGGATGCTTAGCCCTGTCAGTATACCAGGTACGTACAAATCGTCTTCTTGATACCTAAACATGAGGTTTCGACTACCATGACTGCGTATGTGGTCTCCTGGAGTATACATGTACGAGCCCTGATCTTACGCGAACAGCATGCTTACACACGCTGCAGATAGGAAGTCACAGTACTCCACTATTTCTCGCGCTTCATCCAACCCATCTAGCGTCACACACTCAAACCACAGTGTCTTTTCGGGCGCTTCGGGGTACGAGACTGCTCTCTCGGACGATGCTTTTGATGACCCTCGCCCTTCTAAACCTTCATTCAGGCCTCTGCCGGTTTCCCAACCACCTTATTTCGAGCCAGTCGAGCGCGGTTCGCGAACTGGCAGTACACATAGCAGTGAACGCGTCCAAAGTGTCAAAGCAGCTCAAACGCCGTTCACACGGGCACTGGCGAAGATGGAGAATGCTGGTACTCGCATTATGTCCGCTCGATTAAGCGAAGAGTGGGACGGCTTGGACGATGACGAGAGCTTCCAAGAGATTATGTTCGAGCAACGGCTATGGGCACTAACTGCCTATCAACGATTGACGCAGAACAAACCCCTGCAGTCACCTGCGCATGAGTTACTGAGTAATAGTCAACCAGCAGATCAGAGGAGGGTACTCCAAATACATGGTTCTCTAGGTATGTCTGTGCTGCAGCTTTGCCTCGCTCGAAACACGCATTGATGCTAACTACCGCAGCGGATGGATGGATGCTAGCACACCATTACCCTGCAGTGACAGTATATACGCTCTCTACCACCAAGACTCAGCCAGCTACCACGTACCCTGCGCCTCTCAACCATCATACACTATACATTCCTTCACTTGCATCCCCAACGCCATTTCCCGATAACTACTTCGACGCCGTTATCTCGCGTTCCGTCGCGACAGTTCTTCGAAATGACGATTGGGCTCGATCATTCTTCGACTGCATGCGTGTGCTCAAGCCCGGTGGACAAATCGAAATACTCTCAGTGGATGCGCACATGAGCTGCGAAGGGCCCAAGCTATCATCATGGGTTGACGAGCATCTTTCCTGTCGGCTGGAAGCTCACGGCGTGAGCAAGCAGGCTTCAGACACTGTCCTCGACACAATGGAGATTGTAGGCTTCGATAACATTCGTCGCGCTCGCATCGCGCTTCCAGCGCATCCACCCAAGGTGGCACCTAAAGCGGCGCCATCTGCATCACATACTTTTGGTGCTGCGATCCCGGCTCCCACACCTCAAGATACTCTAGATACGACGAAGATGATGGCTTTCCTCGGCCGCCATTTCTATCAGGATCTTTACAGCAGGTTCATAGACGTCAGACAGGGAGATGAGTGGTTCTGGTCGGATAAGGAGATTCGGGCGGAGTGTGATCTCTACAAGACAAAGACGGTACTGACAATTGCTTGTGGGCAAAAGTCTACAAGTATGTGTCACACCGGAAGTTATCTAGATGACTAGATCGTGTCCAACCCATTCTTTGATCAGATCAAGTATAGGAAAATCGCGTTTCATTGTCTCCTAGATGCTGTTGTCATTTGCTGTCGGTTTTATAAGTAGAGGAAGTTGCTGCGGCTGAGGGTGTCGCGAACCAGGCCACCGCTAAGCGGTTCCGTCCATCACGCGTTTCACACTCATGACCTCAACAAGACGTAGGCTTAGATATACGAATATACGAAGTGAACATGACATATGCGCACAATTGAGGCAAGCGAGCTAGAACAAGAATGGTCGCGCCTGCACATGCGGAAGGTACCAGGTTCTCATTCCTTCCCGTGCCTGCTTTCACATGACCCACTTATCCAGGCACAAACACACTCACCTCCATGGGTACTGCTTACTTTAACCACGCTCTCTCCGACCACTGCAGCGGCCACTGTTGATTCAACTCGACTCATTCATCAACCATCTCCAACCCGCGATAGACACACATTGTTACCGTGCAATGGCTGCTTCCCAAATCGGTCATGGTCAGATTGGCAAGATCATCGAAGGTATGTAGAATACATTCAAAATCTGAGAGTGGGAGTGATACTGACGATCGTGTAGATATGGAAGAACTCCTACCTTCGGAAACCATCGATAGGGCAGATTATCGGCGATGTCGCACAACCTACGGGCTTTTATCCACGGCATACAAGCGCACGACCCACTCTGACGAACCAGAAAAAGATTACAAAGAGTTGCAGAAACTTGAGAAGACTTTACGTGACCGTCTATCAAACCTTGACCCTGCCAGAGGCCTCCCGCGCAAATTCCAGGGTCCACTCGACAATCTCAAAGCAGGCATCGACGGTGCTCTCGAGATGGGCGTAACGGTCGAATTCCTCATTGAAGGTCTTAAGGATATCTTGAACGAGAAACCTGATGCTACGCCTGCGCCAAAGGTCGAACCGACTAGGCTAGTACCCGAGAAGCGCCTTCAGAGGTATCTAGAGGAGCTTCGCGTCGAGAAGGACAAGAACCGCAAACTCAACGAAGAGAACAACCGCCTCATCCTGGAGCTTAAGCAATACACGATGCGAGAGGATGCGAGCTCCAGTTGGCCGCCTCTCAGTGAGCCGCCTCTCAAAAAACGTCGCGTTGACTAGAATACTGATGATTCAGCCCAGAGCGATAGACACGGGGCAGACCTCTAATTAGGTGTCGAATGAGTCAAAAGTTTTGTACGTCTAGTGAGGAGTATGCCCACTATGCTATCGCTTACTGACAGGGAGCCCAGGTCAGGTTAAGTCGTCGCTGGTAGTGAGGACAAGGAGCCGGGGCAGGAGTTGGGTCATGCGCAGTGTAGGGAAGCATCTTGTCATAGTCCTGTTGCTTGTGCAGGCAGGTGGTCTGTATGACGACTGCCTGATGAGGTTTGGCTTGCAACGACTCGGCTATCAAATGCTTAAATGATTTCATCGCATTGCAACGCTTGTGATGGCAACACTGTGATGTTCCTTTTGCTGCAGCTGTGGCGGGCAGCGAATGACGTATGACGCAGCCCTGAAGTGGGGCTTCGCGAAAAGGTTTAGCGCCTACCGCTCGACGCGACGCGTCTTGTCTGAACTCTGTTGGGATGCCAGACACCTGCAGAAAGAGACGTCCCCTTTGTGCGAGTCAACATGCCTCGGCCTAAACGAACCGCGTCCATATCGCAATACTCGCCTCCGAGCAAGCGCGTAGCCAATGACGCTGCGCGACATGAATCTTCACACCCGCTAGGGTCACGATACGCCCCAGTGGAGCTAGACTCGAGCCCGGAAGCGGAAGCCAGCACGCACACAGAGCCAGCGGGACCTATCAACCCGCCCGCCCAAGCCGAGCCTCCTCTAAGCAAAGAGCAACAACGAGTTGTTGATCTTATCGTAGACGGCCACAATGTATTCTATACAGGATCCGCCGGCTGCGGCAAGTCAACCATTTTGCGGGCCTTTGTCAAGGAACTGAAGTCGCTCGGCAAGGTCGTCCGTATCTGTGCGCCGACAAACCTCGCCGCTTTGAACGTCGGTGGCTTCACGCTTTGGTACGAGGTAAAGCCCTACGTCTCTGGACATCTGATTGACGTCTAATTAGGTCTTACGCTGGATGGATAGTGCCCGATGTCAACAAAGATTTGGACACATTGAGAAGAGATGCTCACAGGAAGCAAGTCTGGAACAGGATGAACAAGACGGACGTCCTCGTCATTGACGAAATCAGCATGGTCGAAAACAACTTCTTCACTCGGCTGAATGAAGTAATGAAGGCGGCCCGAGGTTCAAGCCAACCTTTCGGTGGCGTTCAAATTGTGGTTACAGGAGACGTAAGTGTAGTAGCGACTTTGGGATGTGCAAAGACTAATGCAATACCAGTTCTGCCAACTCGCCCCAGTGAAGCCTTTCCAGAACTGTTTCAACTGTGGAAAACATTTGAGAGAGGACGATTATGATGACCAGTATCACTGCGATGATCGGATTTGTCCGGAAAACGTCTTCCACGACGTTGACAAATGGGCATTTCGTAGTAGTGCATGGCAGGTAAATTTGAGCCTTTTGCCCATCAGATAGGGACTATCTATTGACTATCACAGGAGTGCAGATTCGTAAATGTCAATTTGACCAAGATCTTTCGACAAAGCGATCGCAAGTTCGTCGAAATTCTTCAGTCAATCAGAAGAAGTGAACAAGTCCAGAGCCACGATGCAGCTCTTGCGCTGACAAGTTACAGATGTAGACATCCCTGAGGATGATGCGTACACGCTTCTGAACCATGAATGTTCCACAGAAGGGGCAGTGGAAATATACCCACATAGAGCAGACGTCCTTCGCATCAACAACAAGTGCATCAATGCGCTCCCATCTCGACCTTGGCGGTTCGCTTGCAAAGACTACTTCAACTGGAAACCAGACCACCGTAAGGCGAACCCAGAGTTCAAGAAATACAACTTCAGAAACAAGGATGGTACGCTGAAAGAGCTGGTGAGTCGCCACTTGTCGCATACATAGACATCGTACTAATCTTTCCTCCGCAGGATCAACACAGGTATGAATCAGTCTTGCAGTTCAAAAAAGACATGCGAGTTGTATTGCAGCACAATCTGGATCCTGAAGCTGGTCTGGTCAACGGGTCACAGGGGGTCATCGTAGAATTTGAGGAATATGACGAGAGAAAGCTACCCCGGGCCCGTAAGGAAAGCGAAGAACGTGGAAGCGATGGGCCAATTCTCGCTGGGTCACACGCCGCGTACGAGCACCATGAGATCCGGAGATATGCCGAAGAAAACAATTACCAGCCTTGGCCGGTAGTCAAATTCGATGACGGCCAGACAAGGACAATTTTCCCAAATTGTTCGAGCCTCGAGCTGGGCGACACTACGCCCTATAGCCTCTTGTCCAGGACTCAGATCCCACTCATGGCAGGCTATGCTATTACCGTCCACAAGGCCCAGGGCATGACAATGGATAAGGTCAAGGTCAACCTGCAGAAGGCTTTCGATCCAAGCCAAGTATATGTTGCTTGTACGTCAACTCATATCTACCCCAGTGATACCAAGCTAACAGCGAACACAGTGAGTCGAGCGAGATCATTGCACGGTCTGGAAGTTACGACTCTTCCGAAGAAGCATTTTGGTGGTCAAGCGCCAGAGGTGAAGGAATTCATGGACTCCTTTTCTTGATGTGACCTATTTAATCAGGCTCAGATATATCGCTCAATTCTCGAAGAGTATACGGTGCTCAGACTGTGGCAGCGTCTCTGCGAAGTAGCGACTAGCAACAGAATTCGCAGTTTTGATACTGTTTTACGCTTCGCTAGCAAACAACAAGTCTCGTAACTCTTGCCTTATCTTCAAACTTCTAAGCTCGCATGTGATATACGTCTGCTGTGTGTATCTGTGCAAGATCGTATGTACAACACGATCACCTTATACAAGGTAAAGCTGAACAATTCTGCAGACTACACTTGAATGAGACGAGCAAAACAGAACAATTTGTAGTAATGTAAGCTCTATGGTGTTCAATCTCTTCTTTGTTGAGGTGCAGTCACAACAGAAAAAGAAAGAGACTTGGCTACTCTGAGCAGTGGAGCTGAGGCAATGATCTTGGACCTAAGGAGGTTGGCAGCGCAAGACCATCTTAAGATAAGAAAGCTTTATTGGTGTGGTGCGCATGATGAGAAAGCAGCCAAGGGGCACACTTTGTCGTCTGGTTCTAGATGGGAAGAAGCCGGAGCATTAATTAGGCTAATGTATGAGTCGTTGGTATCCGCGAACTATCTCACTGCAGCCATGACATTCACGATATGGCACAGACGTTGAAAGAAGGGGTATATTAACATTTAAGATCACCTGTATGAAAGGCGAACATGATGTATCAGTCGATAATGGAAAAGTTCATCGACTGATAATCGACTCGGGACACTTGAACGATCCATAGACCGTAAAATAAACTCATGCAAAGACAAGCTTAAAAGATGCGGTTCAAGAAACGCTTCCATGCGGGCCAGGTGGCGATCTCGGCACGCTCCGCGTTGATGAGGTCCCAGTCGAGCTCACGACGGCCAGTGTCAACGTCCATCTGGGCAGTTCGGAGCCATCCCTCGCGCTTCCAGAAGTATCCGGCAATCCAGAAAGCAGCAACGACGAAGATAGCGAGGTATGCCTGGAAGAAGTCGGTGGCAGTACCAAGCCTCTTTCCGATAGGGGAGACAGCAGTGTAGAACTGATGATCATGTTAGCCAAATGTACTACAAAGGTGATCAGATGAAGTCTTACCTGTGCCATCAAGACGATGACGATAATGGCAAGACCAAGCCACGAACCAGCGACACCACCAGCGGCCTTGAATGGAATCTCATCCAGGGTGTGTCCGTGGTAAGCCCAAGCCTTGCGGAAGCGGATGTGGGCAAGGCAGATGGAACCCCAAGTGAAGAGAGCGGCAAGTCCGGAAAGAGCGACGAACCAGTTGAAGATAGTCTCACCGGTTGAGGCCAAATTCATG